TTCTCTTTATTTGGTGAATTGCATTTATAGATTTGCATATGTTGAACCATCCCTGCATCTCTGGATGAAGCCCACTTGGCCATGATGGATTACTTTCTTGATAAGCACCTGGATTCAGTTAGCTAGGATTTTGATGAGAATTTTTGCATCTATATTCATAAGGAATATTGGTCTATAGTTTTCTTTTTTTGTTGCATCCTTTCCTAGTTTTGGTATCAGGGTTATGTTGGCTTCATAAAATGTGCTGGGGAAGATTCCATCCTTCTGATGTTGTGGAATAATTTCTGCAGGATAGGAACCAGTTCTTCTTTGTAGGTTTGGTAAAATTTGGGTGTGAAATGATCTGATCCGGGACTTTTCTTTTTAGGAAGGTTTTTTATTGCTGTTCCAATTTCAGTATGGGCTGAATTCTATTCAAGAATTCTATTTCTTCCTGGTTGAGCCTAGGAAGGCTATGTGTTTCTAAGAATTGTCCATTTCCTCCACATTTTCCAGTTTTTGTGCATAAATGTTTGTAGTATTCATAAATTATATCGTGTGTCTCCTTGGCATCAGTTGTAATTTCTCCTTTAGTTTTCCTGATGGAGCTTATTAGAGATTTCTCTTTTCTGCTTTTCATTAGTCTAGCCAATGGCATGTCAAATTTGTTTATTTTTTCAAAGAACCAACTTTTTGTTTTATTAATCTTCTGTGTAGTTTCCCTGTTGTCAATTTCGTTTAGTTCTGATTTGATCCTAATGATTTCACTTCTTCTGCTGGGTTTGGGGTTGGTCTGTTCTTCTTTTTTGAGCTCTTTGAGTTGATTCCTTAGGTTGTCTATTGGTGATCTTTCTGACTTTTGGATATAGGCATTTCTGGAAATAAACTTTCCTTTCAGGGTTGCTTTAGCTGTGTCCCACAGATTTTGATAACTCGTGTCTCCTTTGTCATTTAGTTCAAAGAATCTTTTGATTTCTATCTTGATTTCTTCATTTATGAAGTAATCATTTAGCAGAAGGTTGTTTAGTTTCCATAACTTTATGTAGAAATGAGAGTTTCTGTTAGGGTTGATTTCTACTTTTATGCCACTGTGATCTGAAAAGATACATGGCATAATTTCTATTTTTAAAATTTTTGAGACATTTTTGTGTCCTAGGATATGGTCAGTCTTAGAGAATGTTCTATGAGCTGATGAGAGGAAAGTATATTCAGTGGTTTTTGGGTAGAATGTCCTGTAAACGTCAGTCAGGCCCATTTGTTCTAGAGTTCTGTTTATGTCCATTGCTTTTTGGTTAATTTTCTGTTTGGAGAATCTGTCCTGTGCTGTCAGTGGGGTGTTTAAGTTTCCAACTATTATGGTGTTGTTGTTTATTCATTTGTTTAGATCCAGTAGAGTTTGATTTATGAATCTGGGTGCTCCAAGGTTGGGTGCATATATAGTTAGAATTGTTATGTTTTCTTGTTGAACTATACCCTTCACCATTATGTAGTGACCTTCTTTGTCTTTCATTACTTTTGTTGATTTAAAAACGTTATCTGAAGTAAAAACCACCACGCCAGCCTTCTTTTGGCTTCTGTTTCCTTGAAATATCGTTTTCCATACCTTTACTTTTAGTCAAAATGCATCCTTGAAGATTAGAAGTGTTTCCTGAAGACAGCAGATACTTGCCTTGTATGTTTTTATCCATTTGGCCAGCCTGTGTCTCTTGAGTGGGGAGTTCAAGCCATTCACATTTATTGAGATAACTGATAGTTGGGGCAGATTTCTGTTCATTCTGTTGGGTTGAATTTTGTTGCTTTGTTTTCTCTCTTAAGCCATTGTGGTATCTGGCCTTTGATCTTTAGCTTTTGAGTTTTAGCTTTAGGTTTTACATTCGTGAGTTTTTATTGTGCTGATCCATGTGTAACACTGTTTTGAGTACTTTTTGGAGGGCTGATCTTATCTTTGTGAATTCCCTTAGTCTTTGTTTATCTGAGAATGTCTTTGTTTTTCCTTCGTATACAAAACTTAGTTTTTCAGGGTACAAAATTCTAGGCTGTGCATTATTCTGTTTGAGAAGAGTGAGAATGGGGGCTCAGTCTTTCTTTGCTTGTAAGGTTTCAGTTGAAAAGTCTGGTGTTATTCATATTTGCTTTCCTTTGTATGTTACTTGTTTCTTTCACCTTACAACTTGTAAAAGGGCCTCTTTATTTGATATTTTGGTCAGTCTGATGACTGCATGTCATGGTGTCTTCCTGTTTGCATTGAATCTCCCAGGGGTCCTTTGAGCTTCTTACTTGGATATCTAGCTTTTTAGCAAGGCCTGGGACTGAGTGTAGGGAGCATTCGCAGGGGCAGGCAGCACTGAAGCACAATTCTCTTGTGGAAAGAAGGTCCTAAGTTCGGTTTTGGGCTTGTTGACTTCGAGGAGGCTTTGAAACATCCACACAGGAAGGGGCATTCGTGGACCTGGTGCCTGCAGAAGAGGAGAGTTCAAAGTAAAACTTGGGCACCATCAGCAGCAGGTGACAGTGAGGGGCTCAGGAGTGGATGAGGGTCCCAGGGAGAGGGCCAGAGTGAGGAGAAAAGCCCAGGGCCAAGCCTTGGGAGAATCCATCTCACTGATCCAGAGATGGGTAGTCACGCCCCTTGCCCTCATGGCAGCGTGGTCGGGAACACCTGGGATCTGTCTCTGGAGGGAGGCAGCGTGCACTAGGAGCCGAGGCTCCCAAGAATGGGGGAAAGGTAATTTCCAAATGGGCTACCGTGTTCTGTGGCTGCATGCGATGGCCTTTACTTCTCATTGACCTCATTTCCCTGCTCCTAAGCTTCTTAGGGAGTGCTGAGGAGGGCGTGCACCTGCCCCACCCTTCCCCTCACATCTGAAGCTGGCTCTCTTGCGTCCTTCTGCATTGGTGTGTCCTTATTGCCTGGTGTCCCTCTCTGCTGCGGGCACAGCTGGACCAAGTGCTGTGCCCTAATCATGGAGGGAGGGGATGAAAGCAGAGTCTCCAGGGAGCAAGCAAAGGGAGCCACCGCGATGGCTAGTGGGACCCTGGAGGCCAGCCTGAAGCCCCGGGTGACAGCCTCAGGGGATGGTGGCTCCTGGACAGTAGTTGGAGCAAAGCTTTGGGTTTCTGCTGAATCTGAGCTGCCCTGAGCTTCAAATCTGAACATAGTTGCCAGGGAAGGGTGGTCCTGAGTGAGCTTCGCCTTTTTCACCTGCCCCAGTGACGCATCTGGATGGTCTTGGTTTCTTAAACATGCATCTGGAGGTTTGGGTGCCTTCTCTGGGGCCTTCACCTTCTGTTCCAAGTTCTGCCCTGGGCCAGCTGGGGCAGGTGTGTGGAAAGGCACAAGGGAAGAGGGACAAGGCAAGCCTGTGCCCCACAGGAGGCAGCCTGTGCCTTATAGTCCTGAGCCGGTGGCCCCGTCACAGGGACAGCAGGTGTGCCCACTCCTGCCCATCTGTGTCCTCACCCTGGGAGAGCCTTTCTCGACTCCTAGCCTTGAAGAAGTTACTCACATTCCAGGACCCAGCTCTGGCCCAGTTCCTCTGCAAGCCTATAACAATCTGACTTCTTAGCCTTTCTGGTCCCCACAGTGTAGACCAGACACCACAGAATAGGAATAAACTATGAAAGCTCCACTCTGCTGGTTACAGTTGTGTTTCCTGCATTTATCCCTCTCTTCAAAGAGCAATTGTGTCTCTCAAACGCAGGGACCAAATGTTCCAGGTCCCCTGACGCTGTCCATCCGAGAGCTGAGCACCACAACTTGGTAATGGGCTAGAAGCTCTGTTTCAAGAGAGCAGGAAGAGTTGCCTTTTGTTCATTCATTCATTCATTCATGCAGCAGGTGCTTGGGGCTGAGCTGGAGGTATAAGGTGTTATTTCTTGCCCTCCTAGAGGTTAAAATGAAAATAATAAGAATGATTATAATAATAATAGATTATTATTAAACAATTATAATAATCACCATATTTTATTACATGCCATAGGTGGGGAAGCGCTCTAGGCGCTTTGCGTGCGCTGTCTCTCGTTCTCATTCTCACTTCACTCCTGCAGGATTGGGACTCTCCTCTTTTTATAGCTGTTGAAATAGGCTCCAAGGGGTCACAGAGCTGGCAACTGGCAGCCTGAGGCTTAAGCCCAGGTGCACAGAGTGTGCTGCTTGGCTGGACAGACTGTTTCTTGGAGGCAGGAACAGGCGGAGTCTGACCAGCCCCGAGACGCTGGCAACTCATGGCCCCTGTTTGGGGCTCAGAGGCCTCCTCTGTGTGGAGTCACCGTGCTTAATTTCTCCGTCCTCTCCCATTCTAACATCTACAGTTCCATCTCTACCAGGGACCTTTGCCCCCAGGGCGATGTGGGAAGTTTCTGAAATAGCTGTGCACTGCTGTCCTGGCTTGCTAGAAGGGCTGCCCTGGAGGGGGGCATGGGAAGGGGCTCTTTTCTCTCGGCCTTGGAGCACATGGACCCCTCAAGGGCACTGGAGGACAGCCCCTCTGTTCAGAGGGTGCCCCTGTCCCCTGCAGGCCCCCAGTGGTCTGTCCTTGCTCTCTGCCCCAGGGCAGGGGCTGGCCACAGTGCTGTGGGTCTTGCTGCCAGGGGAGAGGCCGTAGAGCCTGAGCCTTTGGCATCAATCAAGGTGTCTCTCTAGGCAGTGCCCCACCCTGGCTTGGCCGATGCCACCCCTGTCCTCTCGTCAGGGAATTATGGGAGATTAGGATGGCCATGATCCAAAGGAGCTGCTGTCGGTGGCTGCAGGCCCCGTGCGTGTGCGGGTGCACGTGTGTGTGTGTGTGTGTGTGTGTGTGTGTGTGTGTGTGTGTGTGGTGTGTCGGTGGGGGGCGTACCACTTCACTGTATGTGCTCCCCTCTCCTGTGGCCCAGATGAAGGGGGCTAACTAAGGCACTAGGACTGACCAGGGAGAGCTGTGAGGAGACGTGGACCATTTTCTTAGGGCCACAAGGTTTTTCTCTTCAGTGCCTCAGTTTCTCTGTTTTCTCATCATCTGACATTACTTTCCCTCTCATAGATATCCCCCTGCTCCCTGGCTCCCCACGCCGGCTGAGCCCTCGAACAGTGGCCAGAGGGGGCCAGGCCCCCAAACGTGGACAGCAACATCTCAAGGTGCCAGGCCCCCGGGCCCCAGGTCCGAGGGGCAGTTCCGGTGGAGGGCGGGCCCACGGCAGTTCTGTGAGTATTGGGCAGGGGACAGGTCAGCCCTGGCGGAGGTCCCTGGGGAGCCTCTCGACCGGGGAACCTGCAGCTGGGAGCATGTGTGTGTGCGGCAGGCCTGGGGTTTGGTGGGGCCTTTTCTCTCCTCCAAGTCGGCACAATTTCTCAGCAACGCTAATTCTTCTGGTCAGAGGAGGGCTGGGGAGGGAGGTGGCATGGAAGCCAGGTGACACCACCTGTTGGTTCGCAGACTCACTGGCTCCCCTCCCGCAGGCCTGAGAAGCCATCTCTCCTGTGCTGTGGTGGCTCCGAGTCTCTCCCCTGTGCCTGGCGCTTCATCTGGTTGCCCAGGTGACCTCTCAGGTGGCTGCAGAGGCAGCTGGGTTTCCAACCAGTAATAAACAGGGAAACACCCAGGGGGAGGGAGGCAGGTCCCTGCCCTGCTCTGCCTTGGTCCCTCTCCTCTTCTTCCCACCTCCGCACCTCTGGAGTGGAAGAGAGCAGGAGGCAGTTCCCCGGCTGCTGTCTCTGTCGGGGTCCTCGCAGTGGCCCGAGAGGAGGAGGAGGACTATGTGGGCTGTGAACAGTGTCTAGTGAATTATCGTGGGTGGGAAGGTAGGGATAGGCCAGGTGACTAGAAATTGGCCTTTGTTCCGATGGATCCAGAGAGCCTGCCGGTGAGTATGCTCTGTGTGTAAATGCTTCCTGGAGTGTTTGCAGGCAGACGTGCAGATCTGCAAGGAGGCGAGCCCGTGCGGGTGTGTCACTGCATGTGGAGGTCTGTGTGTGTGTGTTAGAGCACACTCAGGCAGATGCACATGCGTGCGGGACTGCTGGTGCAGGGAGACGAGAGTGAAGTGGGCTGTGGTCATTTGCAGGTGCTTGTGTGTGTGTACACGCCGGAGTGGCATCGCTTCTGTGTGTGCAGGCAGGCGGGGCCATCATGCAGGGTTTGCTGCTGTAGGTACAGTCTGTGTGTGAGTACATGTATGTGCATGGATGCTGGAGCGTGTGTGATGGCACTGATGCCCCGACTGCAGACACGTGAGTGGAGGGCTGTGTGGGCTGCTGTGACAGGTGAACCTGGCCACTCTGTCCTTTCACGGGGGCAGTCGGGGCTCTGGCCTGAAGGTCTTGCTTCCCTGTCTACCTCCCTGGGCCCAGAGGTCAGCCTTCTGTGTCTCTCACCATCCCTGTCCTATTCTCTCTGGCCAGGTCATCAACAACTATCTGGATGCCAATGAGCCCGTGTCGTCGGAGGCCCGTGTGAGCCGCATGCACTTCCATGACAACCAGAGGAAGGTCGACTATGTGCTCGCCTACCACTACCGGAAACGTGGGGCGCACCTGGGCCAAGGCTCCCCTGGCCACTCGCTGGCTATTGTCTCCAACGGGGAGATGGGCAAGGAGCCCCAGGCTGGGGGCCCAGGTGACATTGAGCTGGGGCCGCTTGATGCCCTGGAGGAGGAGAGGAAGGAGCAGCGGGAAGAGTTTGAGCACAATCTGATGGAAGCTGGGCTGGAGCTCGAGAAGGACGTGGAGGTGAGTTGGGCAGTTGGCTAGGTCTTGGGGTGGGATGGCACCACAGAGCGGGGCTCCTGGTGGTCAGTGCCACCCTGCAGGAGCCTAGGCTTGGGTCTGGCAGGTGGCATGGTTTTTCCTGTTGGGACACCAAATCTTCTTGCCCAAGGACTTAGGAAGGACATAGGTCTTGCTAGCACCCCTGCTGGGGAGGGTTCCAGGTAGTAGTGGGGTGGTGGTGATGCCACAGTCTGTTCTATGGGAACTGTAAGTTGCCTAGTTGGAGTGAAGACAAGACCTTTCCCCCTGACTCTCTCAGGTCTTATCTGGTGGCCTTCACTATAATGGTCTCCTTGGGATGAAGACCTGGTTTGCCTTTGGAATTTTGGATCAAAATTCCTCTATAGGGATCTCCTTCACTAAGGAATGTGTTTGTCTGGGGGTCCCTGAGGCGCTGATTTGGGACATATTTGGGAACTGAATTGAGACATACATTGGACATATTTTTATCAATTTGTAAACTTTTATACTCTCACCTCTGGTCAGTAGACAGTCTAAAGAAATCCATGGAAATTCATTCACCCGCATATCCATTCATCCATCCATCCATCCATCCATCCATCCATCCATCCATCCATCCATCCATCCATCCATTTATTCATTCACCTATCCATTCATTTCTTCCTACCACAGTGATCCCTTAAAAATGACCTACCCTTGCTGTCCCCTTCACATTCATCCCCTAACTCTCCTGCCCTCTGCATCCTACACCAGGTCACTGGCCTTATCTGAGGTGGGTGGTCACCCTCACCACAGGTCTTTGTGCTGGTTGTCCCCTCTGCCTTAGGCACTCTTCCCCAGACCTGTACATGCCCCTTCTCTCACTTCAGGTCTCTGCTCAAATGTCATCTCCTTCCAGGTGTCGTCCTTGACCTTCCTAGCTAAAATTACCCCACACCTGTCACTCTTTGTCTCTCAATCTTGCTTTACTTTTCATCACACTCAGCACTATTACATGAAATACCATGATAGATTTATTTGCCTTTTTCTGTGTGCCCCCACTAACTCCACAAAGGCAAGGCTTTTATTTGTATCTAAGTATTAGCTGAGTAAATGAGTGACCTCCCTGAGTCTCAGGTCCCTTATCTGCAAAATAATGATGCCTTGCTGGATTGGGCTTTCGTTAGATTGTACTTGTATTAGAAGGGGGAGTGAAAACTTTAGCATAATGTCTGGTACATAGTAGGCACTTAATAAATGCTCATTATAATTCAAAAGTGTCATACTAAGGATTGAAATGCTATTCTCATCAGAAATCTGTTTTTTAAGATTTAGGTTAATGCTGTCTTCAAACTGGAAGGGACCCCAGAGGCCATTCATCCCTTCCTCTGTCCCCAGGCAGAATGGCGGGTGGCCTGGCTCACACCCTGGAATGCTAACCTATGCTGCTTCACTAACCTCCAGGGTTAGTCTTTCCACCAGGGTAGTAAGGGTGTGATCTTTCAGGTTTACTTTTGGGCTCACTTGCTGTGGGAGTGCTGATTTGCGTTTTTTGAAACCCAAAACTCACTTGGTGGCTCCAACTGGGGCCTGCTGAGAAGGTCTTCCCAAGGTAGTGGTGCGTTCTGAGGGCCATAGCAGGAGCCTGTGGTGCTTCCACTGTGGGAGCTACAGTCTGCACCCTGTCTGCCGCTGGGTCTCAGGAAGCGGAGGCCAGGGCTTTGCTCAGCTGCTCGGTTGGGAAACGCTATATCCATGCTCAAGAGGGTGGACTCTGAAGGCCAAGGACATATGTTCACATCCCAGGCCTGACTTCCTCTAGCCTCACAACCTCGGGCGGGTTACTTGGTCCTTTTGAGTCCAAGTTTCCTTGATTGTAAAAAGGGAATAACAGGACATTCTTCACTGGGTGGTTATGAGGATGAAACAAGATAACTCAGTTAAGTACCTAGAACGGTGACAGTAAGTGTTGTTATTATACTATTATTATTATTTAGAGTTGCCAGGTTTAGCAAACTAAAATGCAGCTTACCTACTTAAATTTGAGTTTCAGATTAACACGAAATAATTTTTTAGCATAAGTATGTCCCATGTAATATTTACACTAAGAAATTATTCACTGTTGATCTGAGATTAAAATGTACCCATCCTGGCCACGCCTACTACTCCTGCTAACGTCACTGTCCACCTTTGTTGCCCTCCACTGTGTTTCATTTTGGTTTTTGCTGGATATTTCCAGCTTTGGCTGGGAATTGGGAGGGCACAGAGATAGCTCTTGGGACTGATCGGTGTTAGACGGGGGTATGGACTATGTCCTGGACTGTTGTCCCTGTTGTGTGACCGCCGAAATCGCTTCCCTCCCAGCCCCCACCCCTGGCTCCAAGGCTCACATAACTCTTCTCCTTCATGAAGCCTCTGCAGCTCCCTCCAGCCCCTCTGTCATCAGAACTCCCACCACTCATGCAGCCATTGTGACCTGGTGTTCCGCAGTGTTGTCTCTCTCTTCTCCAAAATAATGGTTACAAATAGTGCTGGGACCTCACACATAGGAAGGGTTGGGTTTACTGTACTTCTCAGCTGTGCTGCATTATTTGCACTGGTGTGTGCAAGGAACCTCCTGCTGTTTTTTGAAATACCCCCTTGCCTCAGCACGGCCTGCGTCTTCACAGGCAGGCAGTCCACGGCATCATGGTTCTGGCAAACACATAGCGTTGTTTGTTGTATGCAATTTATTTTTAATTTTAAAAATAGACTTTATTATTTAGAACAGTTTTAGATTGACAGAAAACTTGAAAGATAGTACAGAGAGTTCCCATATACTTTATATTCAATTTCCTTTATTATTAACATCTTACATTAATGTGGTGCACTTGTTACAATTTATGAATCAATATTGATTCATTATTATTAACTAAAATCTGTACTATTTATGAAGATTTCCTTAGTTTTTACCAACTGCCCTTTTCCTGTCCCGGGATCCCATCCAGGGGACCACATTACATTTAGTTGTCATGTCTCCTTGGCCTCCTCTTGGTGGTGACAGTTTGTCCGAAATGTATGCATTTTCAATTTGCATGAAAAGCACCTCTGTAGCCCACTCTTTTTCTGACTTTTTCCTATCAGCACTATATTTTCCAGAACATTCACATTCTGCATGTGCGTCTAACCCATGATTTCCAATGGATGAGCAGTTGCAGCCATTGCAGTGTACCTGGTCACGCCCTCGGACACTTAGGTTGCCTCCAACTGTGTGCCATCCCAAACAGGGTTGAGGAAGAATGGTCACCTCCTTCAGAACCAGCATCCTGTGATCTTCTTGGTCTCTCCCTGGCCCGTGCCGTGTTGGTGCTACACACTGTTTGGAGATCCGTCAGCTGGAGCCTGTGAGGCTGTGAACAACTCTTCCATGTCAGCATGCTCAGCCTTGGTGAGCGGCAGCTTGGAACAGAGGCCTCACACGAGAGGGGCCCCGCTTGACTGCACCTGGCAGCATTTGGGAGCAGGTGCAGCAGCCCCACCTGCTCAGCTGGCCCCACCCTTCTTGGCTGGGCTGTCTTTCATGCTGATTTTACTTTGACTTTAAGGCTATCAGAGATCCATTAAAAATTATTCATTTAGCCTTACAGATCAAAAGAACTTTGCATCCACCAAACCCTAAGTGGTTGAATATCATAGAATTTAGTTCTGACTCTTGCTGATATCTGGGCATGCTTTAGACAGCATAATTGATGCATACCTTCCATTTGGTGTTTCGTTTTCTCATTTTGTATGCATATTTCCATGTATTGACCCTGCTCATGTTCATTTTTTAAAGACAATCCAGTATATTCTCAGACAACTATGCCATCGTTTGCCTGGATGTTTTCTTAGGTTTGGTGTTTGATTAGAATCGCATTGAACGGCATCCCCGGGGAGGCTGACAGGTGACAGAGACACCTGTGCCTTCGCCATCAGTTCACGTCAGTGAGGGTCGCCAGCTTGGAGATGGGATCACTTCCGCATGGGAGGCTGATTTCAGCAGTTCTGGAGGCTGATCTAGCTCTGAACTTCAGAGTTCGTTTCCTCCATTGCTGAGGGGGCGTAGAGTGCGTGAGCTGAGCAGGCCTCCTGACACAGCTCTGGGCAGGCCCCACCTGCCCATCTCCTCCCCCCTCCCCCCAAACCTCTGCCTTGACCCAAAGAGGCAGCAGGGCAATAGCAGAGCCTCAGATGCGCCGGTGTCACCAGGGGCACCTGGGGGAGGGGTTGCCCAGAGCCAGGCACAGTGCAGTGCCTTTCCCACCCTGGAGGCCCCGAAATTGCAGCACACATGGCCCCAGACTTCATCTTTGTGGACAGCCAGATCTTTGAGGCTGGGAGTGGAGGAGAGGCATTTACTGGGAGGCCGGGTGCCCTTGCTCGGGCCAGCTTTCCTGGGAGCAGGGCACCTGGGACCTGACGGCAGAAGCTGGCTTTATCCGGCAAGGCCTGGCGTCTCCAGCGGGTCTGCGGGCTGTTGTTGGCAGAGACTGGCATGAAAGGGACAACGTGCCAGCTGGAGGCCCATAGCCTTGTTCATGAGGCAGAGCTCTCCTCTCTGACTTGGTGTCAGATGGGAAATTCAGGAATGACCAAAATCCTTCTCTCTCTGCAGAGAGGAGACCACCTCCCCCCAAGCCGTAGGATGTCCCTGGCACCGCCTGGATATCTGGACCTCAACTAGAATTCTGCTCTGAGTCAAAGGACCAGGCCAGTGGACATCTTGGGTGGGTGACATCATGGGCTCCCAATAGGGTCCATGTAGTCGAGAGGGCTAAGGAAATCAGAATGTCTCCTCGGTCTCCCAAAGACAGTGGCCACTGTTTCTCGACTCAGTCACCCTCTGCCTTTCCCCTGCTTTTCAGGAGGACTTTTCTACGGTTGACGAAACAGCCGACAGGACCATCTGTCCTCCAGGGCCTCTGGAGGGGGTAGGGGCGGCTTTCAGAAAGTCCTCTTCTTCACAGTTTGATTACTTTTAAGGAAGGAAGTGGGCTTTACTGAGTGCCTCTGAGTGCGCCTTACAGGTGGTCCTGCCTGTACCCGTGCCCGCTTGTTCAGTCTTCATGCACAGCCCGCAAGTCCTGTCTCTAAGGAGACGGGCTCAGAGAGGCTAAGTGACTTGGCCAGGGTAATGTTGCTACTAAGGGACCCGG